TACCTTAGGAAAACCTACCCATCGGGAAACAAAACTTGCACCAAACACCCCCGACACTGCACTGTTAAACTACAGGCAAGGTCAGTGCCCTCGAGGGAAGCAAGAAACAGGACAACCTGCAGGTTGCACTTAGTACCGTGTTGATTGGTCTATTCTTTAAGGTGGTTCATCAAATATAGGAAAAAGGGGTTTTGCAGGCAGATACATTTGTGTCAGCCTGGATTAAACAGCCTTGTGAATGCCCAGAGATAGGGCATGAAAGGATAGAGCCTTGAGTGTATCAGAACGCTCCCATCCCCTGCCCCCCCAGATCCAGATGGGGATAATGATGCAGTTTCCAAGAGTTATTTGGACATGAAATTCCCTCTCCTCCCCCCAAATACTCTGTGGGCCTGGAGTTCCATGGAACACTCTTTGGCTTGGGGCTCAACATCTCTGGGTGATGAGGCCATCGGAAGCCCCGGCAGCATCGTGCGTGGGCTCAGGGTGCCCAGAGCGAGTCCTCTCTAGCCTACAGCAATGCGTGGCTTCCCCATCTGTAGGATGGGACCCCATCCAAGGCTTGCTGGCAAGAGTAATTCCTTGGCGTTGGTGGAGCCCCATTTCCACAAGGTTATTAAGATTCCATCATCTCAGACTCATCAGGCTAATGGGAACGTTTGTTCTATAATTTCAGCAGTCAACTAAAATTATTTGTTTCCGATGGTGGTTGAAAAAGCTAAGGACGGTTTAACTTGCTTAGGTAAGAATAACTGTGGTCAAAGGGAGAAAAAACACAACCACCCACATCCATATGCACAAACAGCATTGTGGCCACAGTATGCCGAGCCAAGTCACAAAATGAAGAGACACACACGCAATTCCTGAAAGCGCCGGCCCCTGCATCCGGGGAGTTACCTTTGACGGTCACGGAGATGGTGGTGTTCTCTCCCACCAGGTAGCCACAGGGCAGCAGCTCGGGGGTCTCGGAGGTGTTGCTGCGCTTGACTTCCCCGATGCTGTAGCCCAGCACACTGTCCGAATTCAGCCCGAGCTGACTCACTGGGTCGACGTGAATGATGTATTCCTGGAAAAAGTAAAACAAAGACTCCATCAAAGATGTGGCTAAAAATCTGCCCATGACTCATGTTTTCATTGGGTGATTTACAATCATCTGCTCTTCTTTCTCAGCTGAAGCCTGAGTTGAAATGGGCTGTGGAGTGAGGGCAGAGGGCTCACGTTCTACGCCGTCGGTGCCTCTGTCACGGGCACTGTGAACGTTTAGTCTGGGTCAACCGAGCACGGAAAAGTCAGGCTGCTTTTCCTGAGCTCAAGTCTCAAAGGCATCGAGACCTGTGAATGGTGCTGGGAAATTTCTGACAAGAAATCTCTCCACCAGCCCCTGCTTTTGGCTCAGAGCAAAGGCCATCCTGATGACAAAGGGAGCAGAACCCAGGGCTGCTAGAAAAAAAGCAGCTCCTGGAGCTTTAAACGGGAAAATGTGTCCTTCATTGGGAGAATTCCCTCTTAGGTGAGTGACCCAAAGGTTTAATTTAGGTCCATGAACTTGGAACGAAGAGCCATGGGCTGCGGGCTCTGAGATGGCCAGACGATGGCCAAGGTGGAAGCCCAATAACAGACCTCTACCTTCAATGGTCTCCTTCCTCACATGTGACACCCCACACGTTCTTCTCAGCCCAATGTGTTGTATTTCTAACCCAAGGATGTCTGATTGCCCGTCATCAGAGATACGGTTTTGGCCCAGGTAATAGGATTGGGCTGCCCTTGGCCTTAAACACCTGCCTACTCGCATTTCTATGGACTGGCCTGTGAAGATGATGAGCAATCTTTGGTCAAAGAACAGAGTTTCCTGCCCTAACCGGTTTGGCTCAGTGGATAGAGCGTCGGCCTGCGGACTGAAAGGTCCCAGGTTCGATTCCGGTCAAGGGCATGTGCCTTGGTTGCAGGCACATCCCCAGTGGGGAGTGTGCAGGAGGCAGCTGATCGATGTTTCTCTCTCATTGATGTTTCTAACTCTATCCCTCTCCCTTCCTCTCTGTAAAAAATCAATAAAATATATATTTAAAAAAGAACAAAAAAAAAAAAGAACAGAGTTTCCTCTGTATGATGTCACCTGAGTCTAGACCAGGGGTGGGCAAACTTTTTGACTCGAGGGCCACGATGGGTTCTTAAACTGGACCGGAGGGCCGGAACAAAAGCATGGGTGGAGTGTTTGTGTGAACTAATATAAATTCAAAGTAAACATCATTACATAAAAGGGTATGGTCGTTTTTTTTTTAGTTTTATTCATTTCAAACGGTCCGGATCCGGCCCGCAGGCCGTAGTTTGCCCACGGCTGGGCTAGATGCTAGAAAGAGGCCAGAGTGAACTAGTTAAGTCAGAAGCAAGACCAACTCAACTGGACCAAGAGAATCTGGTTTTAGATCCATGACTTTGGGCAAGTGACCCAACCTTCTTCGCCTTTAAATGGGAAAATAATAGAACCTTCTTTACAGGCCGGAGAATAAATCGGGGTGATGTAAGGAAAGTGCTTGGTAGGGTCTCAGGCACAGAAAACGTGGGTCATTAGTACTTCCCAGGGGACATGACTAATGAACACTTAAGGCTGTTGACTTGCTTCAGGACAATAGAAAGAAGTGTGCTGAAAGCTTCCTTCAAACCACACTGAATCTCAAGGCTCACTTTAGTACTCTTTGCTCATTTCTCTGGTGGTAAAACCCACTCCAATGATGTGATTGGAATAAATACAAAAATAACTATGCCAACATCCTTGACACTGGCCATTGACCAGATGTTAATGTCCCGTGTAGCACTAATCACAGAATAAAGTGTTGGCAAGGACGTGGGCAAATCGATCAAATCGCCGGAAATAAAGAATGGAAATCTGATGTTTTAGCCACAGCCAATGAACACACACTCCAAAGCAGATGCAATCGGACGAGTCTAAGGTGAAGGTAGATTTGGACATGAGCAGCTCCCTGTCAGGGGTTCAAACAATTGCTCACAGCTGGAGAAATGACCCTCTGGCTCACCAGCGACAGCCAAGGGCCGTTGGAACAGTCTGGCTCGTCAGCAGTCTATACTTACCATCTTCCTTCTGATCATTTGAGTGCCAGGGGACAAGTCCCAGCAACATAAGGATGTGGGAGAGGGGACAGGCCTGAGAAACGGCCGGGTTCAGGACATGAACCATCCTTCCCTCCCTAAGCCCAGGCCCCGCTTCAGGCAGACTGCCATAGCCTTCTGTCTCCTTGAAACACTTACTTTGAACAGCCGTCTAACCACCCCATCGAGCACATCCCACTTCGTCTTGCCACTCACTCCAATGCAGCCAATAAGAAAGATGTGTGGCCTGGAATCCTAAGGATAAGAAAACGTATGCAGGTGAAAAACAGGTGGACCTTTTCTGAAACGGGTTAGCAAGGACCAAGACTGTCCCAGAGCTCCACCAAAGGTCCGAGAGGGGAATACCAGTCCTATTTGTTTTAACATCAGGTATAATTTAAACTGAATGCAATAGTCTTAACACCTTCCCTTGCTCTATTGCTAAAAATGCAATCTGTGGGGCAGAGAGGGAGGCTCTCCTTTCTGGAATCTAGAACCTTCTACTGAATGCAAACCTTGTCCAGTACACAGGTCACATCCCTTGCTTGGCATGCTCTCCCCTCTCCTGTCTGCCATTTTTCCTTTCCCAAACGTTGATGATAAACTCACCTCTTCCAGGAAGCTTTCAATGATTGATTTACCGGGCTCAGAGCTCACATTACTTTAATGATTCTGTATACAACTTATATAATGGCATTGTCTGTATTGTTTATTTTTAGGTATTTCTGTCTCATTTGTAAATTAAGTTTGTTGTCTTGCTAGCTCTTAAACTCCCTCAGGATAGACTATGTTTCTATTTTTTCTTTTTGTTTCTTAAATAATGTGCATTGCTGTTCTTTTAATTAAAAGTGAAAACATACTCAATTGAGAAAAATTTAATAAAACTCTGGGAAATTACAGAAAAATAATCTCTGCCCACAGGGCTCTGCATAGTGGAGACTAAGTAATTATATTGATTACAAAGAAGCTAATAGAACATTCCATTCTGTTGGGTTTAAAAATATCTGACATGCTCATAAGAACGTAGAATTAGGTGAGTGGCAGGGGCAGGGATGGGTGTATCTGGCAGTTAAGCACAATCAGCAGAGAACAGAGCACCAGTCTGCAGCGAGATGACCTGGCCCCATCGCTTGCTTTGTAACCTTCAGTAAGTGATGCTTGGGCCTCAGGATTCTCAATTATTAAATGGAGCTAATTACATCTGGTCAACCAACCTCATCTGGCTTCTGCGCTGATCCAGAGCCATACAATTTTTTAAAGTGACTCACAAACTTTTCTAAAACATAAAATCTATCTGTTCATGCTGGTAATCACTAGAATACAACACATTCGCAGCTATCACCTGCATGTGTTCTAAGAATGAACTCCCCCCGTTGGCAGTCCATCACTCCACCAGTGAGTGAGGCTCTGAAACTGGAGTTCGCTATTGGAGCTTTCTGGGCTGAAATGATGTGAGAGCCACTGGCAGCCCTTAAATTCCCTGACATTAGAGAGCCAGCACCAAGTGGAGCCCCTGGCAAAGGCAGGTCTGGCCGCAGACACTTTGCTTGGGTGGGAACTACAGGTTCCCCAGCTCTCAGAGACTAAAAGAGACACGTTGGCTGGAATGCTAAGAACTAACAAACAAAAAAACTGAAGGGGACTTAGCGACTCATGCAGCCTCGGCCCACTTATCTGTGAGATGGTCATTCACAGCATGACTTGGATTTAATCAATGGGTGCTTTACGATATCTTCCCTTCTTTTTCAGCTGAAATGGGCTGTGGAACGAGGGGGAAAAGAGCTGACCTTCCTTGGGGTCTCTGCCTCATTGCCACAGGCCTGTGAACGATTAGTCTGGCTAAAAACCAATGTTGATGTTCAACCCCACTTCTACCCCAGAATAGTCCCTGCTGGGGACATGGCCTCCTGAGACTCTGGAAGAGAACGAAAGTACTCAGAAAACTCAGATTCACATCCCCAGCCTTGGTGAGTCAGGATATCCCACCCTTCACCCTCAGCCATCTGTGTGGTCCCTGCACTCGCCTCCTGTGTCCCTGGATGTCTACTCCACTGCAGCACAGCCTCTAACTGCGTAAACCTGGTGCTCTCAGTCAGCTTACTTCTGTACCTTCTGTGCTAAGTGTGCTTAGCGGCCTTTGCCCAGCTTTGAAGACATATTACATCCAGAAAAGCCATTGCTGAGTGATGTTAGTGTTTAGTGAGTTGCGTGAAAGTGAAGGTGGGACCACTCTTTATTAGACTTTCCAAACGAGAGAGGGCAGGGCTATTCTCTCACGTCAATTGTGTCAATATGCTGCTGGGATTCTGGTTAGTTAAGGAAGGCATTAGTGTTTCCAAATCCCCTTAGGTGCTGAGGTCATCGGGTATGATGAAGAAATCGCTAAGCTAGGTAGTGCTACCTGGGGAAAGGCAGGCAGAGCGGGGAAAGGGATCCAACTAACCTCCTTCCACTTCATTTCCTCCTGAAAGCTGACAACTATCTTAACATGCCTGCCTCCTTCCTTCCGAGCCGAGCATTCACCAGTGTCATCCAGCAACATGTCTGCGAATGGAAAACATCAACAGCCTTAGGCACATGGGGCAGCAAAGCCGGCCTCCCGACACCCCCGCTGCCTGTCGGCACAGCAGCGGGACAAACCAGGTGTCGGGGTGTGGGGGATGTAGGGGTGGCGAGGAGGGGAGGGGGCGCAATGAGAATGCAACCACAGAAACCAACGGTGGACCAACCAAGGAATCAGCGGGCTGACGATGTACCTTGCCAAATGGAAGTGCGAGGGAGACTCAACCAAAAGAGCAACAGCAGCGTCATGGATAAGGAATCAAAGCGTCAGCCTCCGTACGCTTACAGAGAAAACCCAGACCATGTCCGATAATTACTGCGCCAGCCTGGAATCCAGCCCGCAGGCCGGAAGATCACAGGCCAAGCCATGCCCCAAGTGGGAGCTGCTGCCGTGGGGTTTGTATGCAGCGTTCAACTCGCAGGTCAGCCTCTTAAAATGGATCAAACAGAAGTCAGCATGGTGGGCGGGGGGAGCCAAGCTCATGGCTTGGAGCACTTGAGGTGCCGGAGCAAAGCATGACAGCAGTCTAACGGCTGGGCTCATGTGGGTAGCAGACGCACGCCTAGACACACACACACCCCAAGTGCACGCACGCCTGCTGCCTCCCCATTTGATCTGTTGAGCTGCTTATCTTGGGGCTCTGGCTTAGAGACTGGGTGCGGGCTGCAGGCCTGTCCTGCCCCAGCCCTGTGACCCACTCACCCAGGCTGGTTGACTCAGTGAGGTTCAGGCTGTGCTGGGAGAGGCCCATGGACTGCCTCGGGGAGGCCGAGAGGGACACCTGGGAGGGTGCCCGGCTGCAGCCGCTGCCTTGAGACTCTGACTTTAGCCGGTCATTCTCAGCTTTCAGCTTCTCTATTTCACTCTGCAAAGCGTAAAAGAGAAGCTCATTGACTGGGTGGAGAGAATGCGAGCAAGCCTTTTCTGGAGGAGGGGTTTGGAAGTCCCCTGCAGGGATTCAGTGGGTAGCCCAGCTGAGGCAGAGTCAGTTACACCATCAGAGGGATTCCGCAGTGTTTGCTGCCTTTGCTGCATACACAGACCTGTGGGCAGGGCAGGGTCCATCCTTTCAAAGAGCTGGCCTTTCTTTGAAAGGCCTCAGAAATGTTTCCCAAAGTCTGAGTGGTAAGTGAAAAGGAGTCATACCTAAGTTTGAGCAATTCTAGGTTTGACAGATATGCTATCCGGGGTGGCGGTGTGTGTGTGTGTGTGTGTGTGTGTGTGTCCCATTTAGAAGAACCTGCAGAGATCTTTCATTCTGTGAATATTTATAAAGAACCTATTATGTGCTAAGCATTCCCAGAAAAAGGGATGCAAAAAAGAATAGCTCAGAAGACACAAATGCCTTCAACCTGTGGCAGAAGATGAGAGGGTTGTAAGAACAGACCTACAGGACCTGGAAAAGCTTTGCAGAGGAAGAGGCCTCAGGCTGAGCCTTAAGAAAAGGGTCCATGTGATTGTGCAGTAAGATATCCCTGTGGAGGGACACCATAAGACAGAACTTCCTGGCATGCAAAGGGGGCAGAGACTGACTCCCTCTGGCTGGTGAGAAGAGTCTGGAGAGTAGAGTTGGTGATGGTGAGTGGGGGGTTGAGAGTGACAAGATCCTGTAGAAGGCCTTGAAGGCCAGGTGAAGGAGACTGCGACTCACCCAGGAGACAACAGCAGAGCCACTGGAAGTCTCACACGAAGGAGGGATGGGGTTCTCTGATATTTTTTAGCAATATGTGGGAGGGACTGACTGTAAAGAGAAAGAGACTAGGAGAGCGGAGGGCTGCCACCAGGTTCTGATGTGGCCTTGGGGTGTGGCAGGAAGCAGGCACCTGCCAATCCTTCCCAGATAGCCTTGGGCTCCATCAGTGCTCCTGGGTGCTCACCTGCATCCTGTTCATGGCCTCCCGGAGTTGGTCGAGCTGGTGTGCAGAGCTGAGGGCTTCAAGGCGGATGTCCGTCAGTTTCATCTCTTTGTCTCTCAGCTCATTCCGGAGCTGCATGACCGTCTCTGCCTCACTATCCATGCACTCCGAAATGCTACGGAAAGAGGGATGTTACTGACAAAGGTGCCCTGAGTTCACCTCCTTCCTGGCCTCCACTGACCCCTGGCCCATGCCCGTAACCAGCGACCCCATGCTTCCTGGAGATGACAATACCAAAAGCCCCTGAAATTCACAGATTTTATGGCTTCTCTACTTTCTTATCTTTGTGGAGCTCTGGCAATCAGAACGGTTTTGTGTGTTTCTTTTAGCAAAATTCCAATAATCTGAGGATAAACAGAGCCAGCAAAGGGGAGTAGTAACCTTGCGAGTTTGACTCCCTACCCCTGCCAATATGTACACAGCTGGGCCCCTATAATGATACCACATGGCCCTTGAGATCTAAACCCACTCAGAGAAACGAGGTCAACTGTCTGTTTTAAAGATTAGATACTCCAGGGTCAGGCAGCTCAGGGGTGATTTTTATTTGCCATAAAAAGGAAGAAACCGAAAGATACCAGTGGATGGAGTTAGTTCTTTTAGCCACTAAAACCCACCCCCCTATGTGTCTGGAGAGCAACATTCTTCCATTCCCCTGCTCCCAATGCTGCTTAACAAGCTCCTGGCAAAGAGCAGCAGTATCTCAGGTGGTTAGAGAGCAGAGAGGACCATGTGACATGGAAGTCAAAGCTGCATCTGAAACGTATGCAGCAGTGTGGCTGTCTTTCCCAGATACACCCCCTTCACGGGAGGTGGGACCCTGTGGAGTCCCTCTTTCTTAAAAGGTGGTCCTTCTAGGCTGGGCTCCTTATTTGATTTAGTTAAGTTTGCTCTTCAGATACCTGGCAAGTCATCCCAGAGTGGAAGATCATAAAAGTCAAGAGGAATTGTAATGCTAGAAAAGATGGTTCTATTAAAAACAAGCTCTGTTGATTTCAAAGATCAGAGGGTTTGGAGTGAGGGGCGATCCAGAATAGAAAGCTTTGACTTTTTTGGACAGAAGAAGAAAACAAAACAAAAAACCCAACAAAACCAAACAATCCCAAGTTCATACAGTTACAAAGCTGAAGCTGATTATCTCTGAAAGACATGGGGAACATGTGGTCTCTGCAGAAACAATCCCGCAGCCCGTCCATAAAACACAGGGAAGGGATCTGGGGCCAAGCAAAACCTGACCTGTAAGAGTGGTTGAGGGTGTGGACATGCTAATTGCCAAAGAAAAACCATTTATAATCGTTAAAGAGATATAACTGTACTTCAGGGGCAGAAAGGCTAGAAGGAAAATTAACACCTGAACAGCCAAATCTTTTTGTTACTGGTTTCTTGGCCTGTCCCTGAACTATTTTGATTGGAGAGATACAAAGAGAGTAAAACCACCTCCCATTTTTAAGCGTTGTCAGCAGCCAAGGAAACTTCTCCGCTTCTAAATCTACTGAAACCTCCAAAGAACTCCTGAAAATGTTATAATTATTCCCTACGAGAGACTCAGGGCCAACAGATTTGGGACTAATGGGGCTAGAGAGACAAAAATATCTTTAGAATTCAGACCATCGCTTCCCACCTAAGCTCTGTGCTGTGAATAGCTGGGGTTTATAAGTAAGACTTAACTATAGTCATGCTTTTATTTTTCCTTCTTCTTCTTTTTTTTTTTTGGTTTGGGAGTTTTGCACGGGGAACTATAGTTTTCAATGCAAATGGGGTATAAAGTCTGAACTCAACTCCACTGCGACACTGGTCTCAGCCAGACCATGCACAGATCTCGAAGGCTCCCATTCAGGGCAGAGAGCAGTCGGCCTTGGTTCACACTGGGTCAGTCTGGTCCACCTGTACCCACAGCCAGGCACTCTGCTCCAGTCTCCTCCACGTGGTCTGTACCTTTTCCCTAGAAAGCTGTCCCAGCAAGAGGCACAGTCATTCCTCAGCACCCACCCGACTCTGTGGAATATAGAGCCTGGGTAACTGCGAAGCTCGGCCAACGATTCTGCAAAGGGCAGCAAACCAAAGTGAAGGTCTGCACCAGGCCCTCCCATGCTCCCTCCACACGGGCTGGTTCTCAGATACACACACTGCAAGGCCACATGGAGCGATGGCCTGCAACACAGAGATGATGGTGAAAACAAGGTCTGCAGCAGCTCCGAGAGCGGCCCCTGTCCCTACTGCTCGAGGTGGAGCCCTGCCGCCTCGGTTCCTTTTCACACTAGCGCCGTGGGGTCACTCCCGGCACTCAGCAGGCACTCAGTACAAGTTAGTTCACTTCAGGAACCACTTCCTGAAGCTACCAGATGTATATTTTTTCCACACGTTGTTCCAGCACATTCCCGCTGTCTTGTCCGGAAGGCAGGCTGTTGGCAAGCCCAATTTTAAATGCCTCGAGTGTGGGAAACTGCCTTCCCACAGCGCCATTCCTGTTGCCCACGGGGTAGGGCCTTTGCTGAGTGCCAACTCCTCCGCGTTTGGTTTCTTCTTTGAACCCCCTCTCATGTCTAGATTTGCACATTCTTACAAACCTTTCAAGGTTGGAGAAAGCATTTGCTCTCGCCCAGCCTTTGGAAAAGTAAACAAAACAAACAAACCTCTCCTTGTGCCTGGATGCTGTGGGGTGTCCGAAAGCGCTGGAGAGCTGTCTGCCCCGCCCAATCCTGTGGGAAAGTGGTCTGGAGCGCGAGTTCTCCAGATGGTCTGGGGGCCCTGCAGGGCCGAGGGCATCATTGCCACTCGCCTTCATCTTATTGGCCGCCCAGCAGCACTGGACCCAGTTAGTGCTCCTGCTTCCAAACAACTTCTCTCTGATCCTGGGTTTTCTCCCACCTCACTGGCTGCTCTACTTTCTCTTCTTCAAATGTCAGTGACCCAGAGCTCAGCCCTGGTTCTGCTCTTCTCCATCTCCATTCAACCCCTTGGAGAATCCCTCCAGTTTCCCAGCTTTCAACACCAGCGATGAGCCTACATCTCCCGCGTCTATACCTCCACGAACTCTCGACTGGTTGACATCTCCAGGTGACTATCTCCTGGGCATCTCAAACATCTCCATGTGCTTCTAACTCCTCTTCCAGAATATATTCTAAATCCACCCAGGACTCCCACTAGCATTAGTCACGCATTCATTCCACATAATATTTGAATGTCTGCAAAACCAACCATGGAGCTTAGCCTGTAGATTTTTGGGTGGTGGTGGAGGGATGGTGGGAGACAAAGCAAGATAACCAAGAAGAAAGTACATAACAGGTTGGTGATATTTGCAATGGTAATAAATGAAATGGGAGCGGGGAGAGGGGATGGTGGCGGGGGTATTGTTTTTTGCAAGGTGCATAGGCAAGGCCTTATGATAACACTGAGCAGACATCTGCAGGAAAGGAGTCTCTTGGGGAAAAGTGCACCAGCAGAGGGCACAGGCTAGCGGTGGGGAGGGTGACTGGAGAGTTCACAGGAGAGGAAGTGGACGAGGGGGAGTGCACTCTCAGCCTCTTATGTGATCTCCCTTCCTCCACTCTTGCCCCCTATATATTCCTTATTCACAAAGCAGAGACTGATCTTTGCAAGGCACTATTTCAGATCTCATGTTCTTGCTTAAAACTCTCCACCATCTACCCATCATATGAAATCAGATGCAAACTTCAAAGCCTCACATGCAAGAGGCCCCACCTACGTCTGTGGCCTTGGTTCCCTGCCCATCATGTGGCAGCCACGCTCGCCATCCCCCTGTTTTTCAGACCCCCAGGCCTGTTTCCACCATAGGCTCCTTGTGTCTGACTTGGCCCCCACAAGAATCCAGTGAGGTAGATGTAACGAATCCCGTTTTCACCAATGAAGAAACTAAGGTGTCTCCATCCAGTTCAGTGGCCATTCCAGGCACTGTCTCATCTTGTGGACAACTGTTCTTGCAGACTACCTGAGCTTCATTCAATTCTTTCTCTCCTGACCGGGTCTCTAACAAAAGTCAGCCCCAAGGGGCAGGGGCATCTTTCTCACTGCTGCAGGAAGCCAGTTGGGCCACCTTCTAAGGGGATACCTGGGTCTCCCACCTGGCTCTGTCCCATGCCATACCTGACTTGTTCTAGCCCCTAGCATCTGGGCCTATGCTTTTAGATGGGGCACAGGATGTTTTTAGATGGACTATGACCAGTGGGTGCTCAGGGGAAATCATGGGAGGCTGGCTGGGCGAGAGCAGATGACTAGTCCCTTCTATGTAACCAGTCACCAAGTGGAACAGTGCCTAAACCAGTGATGGCGAACCTTTTGAGCTCGGCGTGTCAGCATTTTGAAAAACCCTAACTTAACTCTGGTGCCGTGTCACATATAGAAATTTTTTGATATTTGCAACTATAGTAAAACAAGGACTTATATATTTTTGATATTTACTTTATATATTTAAATGCCATTTAACAAAGAAAAATCAACCAAAAAAATGAGTTCGCGTGTCATAGGTTCGCCATCACTGGCCTAAACCAAGGCCAAGCGAGCAGACACGTGTCTCACTTAACAGAATCAGCTGTTTTCCCAAAGAGCTCTGAACAAATGCACTCATTTTAAACTTACGAGGGGAGTTCAGGGTGATGAGTCATTTTACAAAATATAGATCCTTTGGTAAAGAGAATTGCCACTGAACCTCTCCATTTTTTTAAACTTCCAATTTCTGAGTGCTGACCTCCGAGAGTCAACACCAAATTATGATCAAAGAAGAAAAGGGTAATCACGCTAAGCCGTGTCACCCTAAAGAACCAGAACTTCAGTTAACACTGCCAATGCTTATAACACCATCTCCTCATCACAGCAAGATGGTTGTAGCTCTTTTATATCCATTTGTCTTGTTCAATCCTTAGAGTGAGTAGACAACTATTACCCCAATTTGATAAAGAAATGGAAACAAAGTGATATTAAACAACTCACCCAAGGCCAGCCTACTAATTGCCCACAGTGATGTGGCCACCAGAACAAAAACCTGTTTCTTTTCTCTTTCAGCCTCTCCAGTCTTAAATCACTGAAGGGACATGCCTAGTCCTATGAAGGCAAGACATCAAGGATCCCAAGGAGCAGAGGTATCACAGCAAGTCTGCCAGTCACTCCTATTTGAGAAGGTTCCTAAGGGCCAAAGACATCATCTGACTCCGACGGACAGACTTACAGGGAGTTGGAGTGGGAGGTCCTGAGCAGTGGCGTGGAACCCGAGGAGCCGTTGTGCGGTAACTTTGGTGAGGAAGGCAAAGAAGAGTCCGTCATCTCCTCGATGTCTGAATGAGAGGACGCCGACTTGGGGGACTTCTTCTTCCCGAACGCTTGCTTGAAGGAGCTGCGTAACTGAATAGACAAGACCGTTAGCCTGGCAGGGGCCGCAGCCAACACTCAGGCCTATGCAAAACGGGGACATGCAGACCAAAGAGCAATTAGTTCTCCCACGTTTTCCTCCCACTATGAAAAAGGTTCCCAACAGCTCTCTCCAATCAGTGCATTAGGGGAAGAAGAGTTATCTGGTGTGGACAGCTCGAAGGACTGGCCCTGTGGGTAACATTCCATGCCTACTCTCAGGTCAAGACTAGATGCCAACAGCAAGACAGAGCCTGGCTCAGCAGGTGATGTCGGGAGGATGAGGTTACACAGCAACGAAGCAGGATGCTCAGACATGGTGACGGATGCGGATGAGGTTAGTCATATCAATGGATGGGTTAGCTTGGTATCTGATATTAACAGTCTTGCTTACCTCATTGACCTGCCAGAGAAAATGCAAGCAAAAAATGGGGGAGGGGAAGGAAAAAAGACAATTTTTAACAGAGAAAGCCAGTGACAGGGAAAGCTTTGGACTTTTCAGACGCGACATGGCTAATTATAAACACCACACACAGAGGAGGTTTCCAGTAAGATCACAAATCTTTCAAAGCATAAGGGGCACCTTCCTCCATTATGCAAGGAAAAGGATAGCGAGTCTGGAAGTCCCTACAATCCGAGTTCTTCCAGCTTCTCTGTCTGGTTGAAATGACTGCCCCCACCTTTTTGTGCTGATCGTCATTTCGTCTCTCATTAGTCATCTCTCTAACGCCTTAATTTTTCTGGGGGGCATGTCTTTTCTTTTCCCTCAGCAACAAAGGGTAGCTGTATTACTGCACTGGTCCCAACATGGCTGTATATCTCTCTGATGTATATACTTAGGAGCTCCTGCTGTCCTTATATATACATGAGATAACATAATAAGCAGGGAATTAGATATCCCACTGTGTTACTAAAAATGGATATTTTAAAGAAATTTATTAACCATATTGGAAAAAATAAGCTGGCATATCACAAATTCTCCAAACCACGAGGTGGATCTGAGAATTCTAATGGGAACATAAGGAATTAAAGTGCAATGTTTTCTCTGAGAGCCATGGTAAGCATGTAATTTTCTAGGCTCCAAAATAAGATCTTTTAAAAAGTAATCTCCATTTCAGAAAGTCCTCTTTCCTTCTGAAAACATAGTCTGGGGGCTTTCTTGGTCATTGAGAAATTCAGAAATGGGCCATTCTGAAACAATTAATGGGGGTGAATCGACATCCCATTCCCCTCTTATTCTCACTTCTGGTCATATTTCCAGAGAGTAGTTATGAAAGCAGAAGGATTTGGCACATAAGCCATCAACCTAAACCTTTGCCTCTACCTCTGGTGAAATGCCAGGTGGAAGAGGAGATTACAAAATTTAGACAGAGTTAAGCTCGGGGATTATCTGAGGATGCAAATTATCCATCCTCCTCAATTGCAATGATAACCAAGAGTAATAACTTTTAAAGCAAAATAAATAAGTTTTATTTCTTAAACTGAAGAAAACGAGTAGTCAAGATTTTTCATAGAAAAGAATCCTCTCTCACCACTTTGATAATCAAATCAGACCATATTTCTCAATAGCATATTGGAAACAGCAACATGAACTACTTCTATTTGTTTAACTCATAACAAATGAGTTGACCAAAAGCTATTAGTAACTTTAAAAAAAATTCTATCAGAATGATGAGAGGACCACACTAAACCAGCCTTTTAGCTTGCAGCACAAGTCATCAGTAACCAAAGTGATTAAATCTTTAACTATTCTATTCCTAGACCTTGCCAACCATCCAAGATGACACAAAATGAGTGAGAAGTGTATGGAGTGAATGAGGACACCAAAGCTACTGTGAAAACACGATGATGTCAGCATGGACAGATGGGGCCCTCTGAGTACTGGCCAATGTCAGGTCAACTTGGGCTGAAGACAGGAACTCTGCTGCCTCAACAGCAGAACTAAAGACTGAGTCGGGAGAGCAGAGTGGGACCTCCCCAGGAGAATGGGAGAAACTGTCCAAGATGCCTCTGTATAGACAGTCAAGGAGCTCATTGGGGTCGTGGAAACACGGAGAATCACTGCATGGGGACCCTTCTATTATATTTGACATTTTGAGGTATAAACCCCAAGATCAGAACTGTTCACTTACTGCTAACATCACTGTTATGCAACTTTCACTTACAGGCCATGGTCAAAATTTCTCAAAGAGAAGGGTGGTTTAAGGCTACCATGGGCGATTGTGTAAATAAATAGATAAGGATTATGATTAACAATGGATAATTAGTGATAACACTCCAAAAATACATTGGAACTAAGAAACCACTTAAGAGTAAATTTGCTCTAGTACCTGCAGGTTTCTGGCCAACACGTGATGAGGAAGAAATGACACATATGAAATGAGAGGTGAGTACTTCACATAAAGTCTCATGAACACAGTAAGACTACAAGGTGGTGGTGATTTCGTAAATCCTAGTGTTTGGCTGAGCACAACATTGATTTTAGTAGAAACCTATCCACAAACCACTCCTTTGGCTCTACTCCCAAAGGTCGACGTTCTGAAGTTAAGAGCAAGCCTGGGTTGAGACTGGCTCTGGTAGTCAGTGCATGAGAGTCTTTGGATGTACACTCACCCAATTCTTTCTCTTCTTTTTCTTTGAATCGCTTTCTATGTTGCTGCCCACGCTGGAGTGGCTGGTGGCGCTATTGATGCTGGACACGCTGTCGGAGGAGTGCTGCCTGCGGATGCGGAGGTCTGCAGACTGGGAGGTACCATTTCCTGCAGACCCAAGGTGGGATATCAGCAGCTGCTGCCTCGAGCCCATTCCTTTGTCCCAGGGAATAACCTCACACCGAAATCCACACACCTGAGGACCACTAGGTGATTCCTGTTAGACATCACCTTCTTTTCCTCATGGATAGTATTAAGGCCCTTGAGCAGGTAGGTGCTATACTGTTTGGTCAATTGAACGGGGGCATACGCTCTCTCCACTTTACATAAATATGGGGAGGCTCAGAGAGAATCCCCCCAACACCAGCTCTATTATGCTTTAGACAGGCATAGGAATGAGTTTGTGAATTGCAGCGGTAGTCACCTATGTTTTTAGCGCTTCTCTGCTCACTGCACTAGCCTCCTTTCCTCTCAGGGACGTTCCATACGCTATTCCCTCTTCCTGGAATGCTCTTTTCCCTCCACTCTGCCTGGCCAGCTCCTCCTAACCTTCCCATATCAACTCTATCATGAAGTTCTCAGGAAGCCTGATGTCTGAAACACCAGTGGTACCAGGAATACCATTGCCTGAAGTGTCAGTGATTCCAAAATTAAGTCTGCAGACAGTTTTCCTCTTGAGCACAGAACTACACCTGCAGCCTGGTTTTTAAGAGCACCGTTTCAGAGTCAGACAGACGGGTCTAGTCCCACTTCTGCTTCTAACTACTCCAGGATCACCTCTCGTCTCTGAAACAGTGTTCCCATCAGCACCATATGGAGAGGACCAGGGTAGCACTCATATGGGTTGTGGAAAAAAAATGAGATCATTCATATATAACTGAAGCACTGAGCACAATGCTCAGAACACAGTGAGTGGTCCATAAATGTTCGCCTTCACTATGACTTCTCCTATTACTGTTAATGCCATTACTGCAGGAGGGAACTCATCCTCACGTCCACATTGCCCTCCAACTAGGAGACACACAGACAAAGCAATTCACTCAGAAATATTTTCCTGGACAAACATGAGATGAACTCATTTCAGGTTGTCCCACATCAGTATGAAAACATCAAAGCATTAGTGAAGATAAGGGCTATGAAATATTGTGACACTTTGCCAAAAGAAATACATTTTCTCCCATTTTTGAGATACATCAGAAAAGAGGACGAAGATGGAACAGCTACCTCCCCAGAGGGCAAAAGTCACCTGATGAAGTATCTGCCTCCCAGGACCTGTCCACGGACACGACACCCAGCCTCGGGTAGAGAGCTGCAGTACTCACTGTTAGGGGAGGGCTCCTAGGGGCAGGCAGGCAGTGTTTCTGTACGTACCTTTGCAGTTGAGCTCCGGAGTGTTAATTACTCCATTAATGGCAGCCTGAGCAGCTGCATTCTGTTTCTTTAGCAACTCAATGGTTTTTCTTAACTCATTCAGTTCGGAATCCTGAGGAGTAGAGAAAAAAATACTGCTTGTTCTAAGATCATTCTCTGTAGCCTTAGCTGGTTTGGCTCAGTGGATAGAACATCGGCCTGCAGACTGAAGGTTCCCAGGTTCTATTCTGGTCAAGGGCACATGCCTGGGTTGCGGGCTCGATCCCCAGTGTGGGTTATGAAGGAGGCAGCCAATCAATAATTCTCTCTCTTCATTGATGTTTCTCTCTTTCTTCCCTCCCTTCCTCTCTGAAATCAATAAAAAATATATTAAAAAATCATTCACTGTATAGAGTTCAACTGAAGTGCAAGTTTCAACAGAGGATGATAGGGAATACAGGAGTTCTAAAAAAACCTTTGTCTCAAACAGGAGGTTGGGCCAGTTTTCAGCACAGGTATCTGAGCCACGAAACCAGCAGTAATAGGACCATGAAAATCTGTCCCTGATACATGTACCACCTCTCCATCTAGCTCATATTTTCACTCAACATGCCTACTCTTTAACAATTAAAGAAGGACACTAAAATCTATACAATTATCCAGAATGAAAGAGAATACTATTTTTAGGTGTGTTGTTCACTCCAAGCAGGGAGGGGGAAAAAGCATCTTTTCTGCTTTACCTTCTGCTCAGCCGTCATGGTCAAACTCTGGAGCCTGATTGTCATGTTTCCAAGACTCTGTTCAAAGGCTGCCACAAGGTGAGCCTGGAGGGAGAGACACAGCCCTGTTACATTACCTTATAAGGTGAGTGTGCCTAAACAGTGCCAGTCTTACAGACTGAAACGCTCAGAGGGCCACATGAGTTATCCCCTGCCCAATTCTTCAGCCTATTGAGCCCCACTGCCCAGTACCCTTTGGGATACAGTTATTCTAGCTTTTGTGTCTCAAACGCCTCATGGTTCTTCCCACCTCAGGGCCTTTATCCATGCTTTGCCCTCTGCCTGGGATGCTCTACCCCCACTGCCTCCCCGGCTAACTAAGTTTTGCATATCCTTCTCAAGAGATCTCAGCTCACGCTGTCATGACACCCCCGATGGGGTTGGTTCCCTCAGACTCAATCTCAAAAGCACAATGGACTGTAGTATCACAGTCAAAAATACACATGCTCTTGTGACTGCTGCTTCACGTCTCTACACAGCAGGACAACCTTCTGTTCATCAAACACCAAGCTCACCGCAGAGGCTCACACTGAGCATGTTTGCAGAATGAATGGACAAAGTGGTTGGCATATTTTGCCCGTTATAATCTTCGTTAATAAAAAGCCACAGAAAGGCCCATCTGCTACCTCCTTCGTTACAGAGCCCTTCCCCTGTTCCCCCAGGGAATTATGCCCTTCTTCTGAGCTCCCCTGCACTCTTATATACCTCAATTAGAGGAATATAATGGCATCAGTTGCATCATTATTTTCTATATTACTAAGACAGTCTTAAAAATGCTACCAATTATAATTAAAATATGCATCCAATTTTCAAAGATGTTAAAATGTTTTAAAAAAAGTGTATGTTAGAAATGAGAAATGTGATGTTTTCCTATCGTCCCCCTTCTCCGCAACCCTCTTCAAGGGGAAGATGCGACTTTGTGTTCCAACACCAAACCTTCTTCCCTTTTCCACAGAGCAGCAGGTGATACACTGACTGGCTGACTGAGTATCCTGATAATATTGTTAAAACCAAGAATAAAGAATGGACAAGTCATGTAATTCCATTGGCCTCAGTTTATTCATCCATAAAATGGGAGCTATATTTTCTTCCCAGTGTTATTATGAGCATTAAATGAAACAATGTAAGTGAAAATGGTCTATAAACTATTAAGGAAGTGTGAAACACAGGAATGAATGGATACTGGGGAGCGAGAAAGGAAGAGGCCTGGGAATGAGAAAATGACAAAAAATGCTATAAGAACATAGGAATAGGGAGATCAATAAAGGGTCCTCGGAGAGGGGTGGGTGGACACACAGACGGTTATAAGAGGAATGAGGAGGATACTTGAGAGTCTTGGGAGAAGTTAAGACTTGATCATGTTGGAAAATTCTAGAAGAAAAGATGGGTGCACACAGTGAAGAGTAAGAGCTGGATATAACTTTGTTGGGGAAGAGCCATTGCCCTGGGCTGGGCGGAGGGCCTGTGGACACTGCTATTTAAGGAGGAGAGATTTGAGGAGTGAGTCACAGGCCTCTATCACCAGACCTCATCAAGCGAAAACCATGGTGGGAGATAAGATCGTCTCTAAGATCACCACTGAGTCTTTTTTCCAACAGCCATAGGGTCTGGCAGGGAGCAGAACTATTGGTAATAGAAATGCTAACTGGACTAGCCAGTTTCTTTCTGATTATATGCTCTTTCTCTTAAAAACCAAGAAAATGCCTTTGCATTTTAAAATAAAGAGATCTACATTAGTTTGCCCTGGAGAATGTGGCAAAACCAAAGCCAATTTAATTCAAGACAGTCACATAGTGGATGAAGGAAGCCGTCCAGGACATGGATGTACTAGTAAAAAGAAAATGAGTGTTATCCATGCATTTCAAAAGAATGGCAAGATCACATTTAAATGACTGGATTTCCATTTATTTCAAAACTTTGTTTGATTGCCACCCATGATTCTATTCATGGGCATTTATATCTCCTATCCAATAAAAACCAAAACCTGACCCCATGAAGACTGCCAGAGAGAAAGTGTTTCTGCAAAGCTCAGGAAGAAACCGCATTTGCTCTGAGGAACCAGAGGACTGTGTTTTGCTGGGGAACGAAAGGACCGACTTTGTGTCATGAACGCAACTATGAAAATACGGGCTGAGGTTGTTGCGAGCCTGGTTCAGGCCTTCTCATCCAGCACCGTCTCACATTCCCGGGAAAACAAACACAAATGGTATAAAAACACCCGAGAAGGTGGCTCTGAGTAGTTTGTCCTAGAAAAACAAACACAGTTTGGCCTGTGGGAGAGATGGCAGACAATAAAACACCCTGGTGGTGTGTGGTAAGGCTAAATATTTACTTTAAAACAATACTGGATTCACTGGCCTTGCGAGGAGCAACACACACTTTTAGAATAATAGTAATGTCAGGGCTCTCATGCTGACTCCTCTGAAACAGAGAGCAGGGTCCCAGTGGCCCAAAGCAAGGTCCCGTGGAGCATGAGGTCATTGGAAGAGTGAACCCAAGTTCATTATAAGTAAACTAGAGGCCTGGTGCATGAGTTTGTGCACAGGTGAGGTCCAGCCAGCCCCACCCCCGATTGGGGTGGGGGTGGGGATCAGGGGTGGGGCCGGCCAGGGGAGGGGCCCTGGACGATTGGTGGGCCAGCCCTGTCTCCTGGTTGAACTCCCAGTTGAGGGGACAATTTGCACATTACCCTTTTATTATATAGGATTACTATCTTTTGATGATTAAGGGTCAGTAATTGACAGCTGTAATTCTTACCTAAGGGAGCAGTTCTGAAATTAGGAGGGGGGCTGCTGTTAAATCTCACATATTTGGATTATACCAGAAGATCCTGGCTTACTGGGTCAGAGGTCGGTTCTGGATTCAAATGGTGACCCACATAAAGAGTCCACCCTCAGAAAAAGACCTCTGCTGTTTTTCTGAATAGGATCTAAGCCTCAAAACCCAGATCTCACATCAATTTCCGAAGTTCTTTTGAAAGCATTACTCATGGTGGATGATGTAAAAAAGATAAAGAAGGATTACAAAGCACACAATGGCCTAGTATGTTAGGGTTTTGAAAGAAAATTGAAGATTTCTAGAAATGTAAGAGAGAAAAAAAAAAAAAAAGAGCATAAGTGACCACAATCACCAAATACTGAGCTTGTAATCAAGGCCCAGCACTGTGTGAGGCACCACGTGCAGATTTTAAAGAGAAATAGTTTCCTTGAGCAGCCTCAGGCTCGAGCCAGGAATTACCTGGGCTAAAACTCTAGCTAAATATTAATTCCGGGTACTGACTCAGCATCTTGGTCCAAGGAAGACAACCTTTTGAAACTACTTTTTACTTAATGGCATGCCATGGGGTCATGCAGGTTGCTTTCTGACCGGCGTGTACACATGTATTTGTGGTCTCAGGCTGGGCTGTGCATTCCTGGGTAGGAAGTCTGGCCCCAGAGGCATCGCAGTACCTTCCAAACCTCAGGCTCTGCCTTCTGAGCTTCAGCCCTGCAGCAGGAGTCCTGTACAGACTGGTCTGATGGGGTAGGAGATTTCTAACTCCCATAATTCTATAACCCCATATAGAGAAGTTTTCTGGGAGCAAACCTGACCACCTCACAGCTCTGCTTAGAACTCACTGAGAAGGCTCCACTAACAGCTGAGAGCCTTTGTGATGTGCCCTGGCCATTGCCTTTCATTGATGCCTCCTTCCTTCCCCCCTTTTTCTCCCCTCCACCTGCCTCTTCCCCCTATCCAAGACATAGATTCTAATTACACAAAACAACTTGTATAATCTCCAAATGCACCAAGCTCTTTCACCTTGGGCTTTTGCACAAATTATTCTTTCAGCATAATGGCTAGTATGCTGTCCTCCCCATGCACCCTCCCCTATACAGTATCCATCAGATGTCACCTCCTCCAGGAAGCCTTCCTGGATCTCCTCCTACCCCACAGAGAATGCGTTAGGTGCTTCTCCCACATATTCCCACAACCTTTTCTCTTTATCTCAATCATAACACTTATCATGTCTTAGCAAAAGTGTTTTGTCTTTCTGCTGTACCAGACAAAGAACACTGAGATGACAGTGACTTGCTTGCTTTGCTGTTGAACCCACAGTGCCTGGGGCATAGTTGGCACTTAAACAATTGTTGAATTGAATGCTGGTTGGCAGTGCCCCCTGAACACGTAATTGTGTATGTTATAATTACAGAGCAGTCAGCTATTTACTTGGGAGCCTTAGATCCCTCCACCTTCTTTTCCTTAGATGAGAATTTTCAGAAAGAGGAAGGGAAGAAAAATGAACATTTCTGACCACTTAATATATCCCAGGTACTGGTCACATGACCACCCTGAGAGGTATTATCGTCACCCATCATTCAGAATAGCAAATCCAAGCTCAGAGAGTAAAGAATTTTCCCAAAGCACAGAGCCTCCAAGTGTCAGCGCCGACATTCACACCCATGATGCTAAAGCCTGCATCCTATTCATTACACCACACTGGTTCCATGGTGCTCCGGGGCAGGAGGCCTTTAGGTAATGCTCAGAAGGGGGCAGGGGCCACCTCCCCTCCCGATGGCTGCAGCCCTGTGTCTATACTCACATTTGCTGTCAGCTGGGTGGTCAAAGCGGAAACCTTTTCCTGGGAGGCATCCAGCTCCCGCCGCAGTTTGCGAATCTAAAGGGGACAAGGGACGGGGTTACTTGCTTTGGGAGTCCATTTCCAGGTTGAGCTGGGTAAGAGAACTGATGGCAGTGAAAGTGGGAATCCAACCAGCAAACTGCTCCTTACCTCTGACTGGCATTTTTCTTCTGGCTGTAAAGAAAACACAGGGAGATTAGAGGATCAAATCTAATCGGAGGAGCAAAGAGCTGCGCAGTCCAGCCTGTGGGGACCGCATTTGGATGAGCCCAGCAGTCTGGAAGATTTATTCGTTTCTTTCCTGGGGTATTTTTCTGGCTAAACTGGTTCGATTAATTTGACTATCTGAAAAGGCCAAAAACAAACGGCATATTATTTTAAGAAATTAGGATGAACTGGAACACCCCCATTGTTGTGAGGAGCCTCTGTCCCCATGTGGAGACAGTGACAGGGTCAGGGGCTCAGAACAGGGTGCGGTGAGAAGGGGATGAGCCAGGGCAGGGTTTGCCCGATTTAACAAATAAAATATCAGACAACCAGTTAAATTCTATGACTATTATTATTGTTAATTATTATTATTATTTTTAGTTTAAATATGCCTCATGTAATCTTGGGACATACTTATACTAAAAAATTGTTTGTTGTTCACCTGAATTTCAAATTTAACTGGGCGCTCTGTATTTTACCTGGCAAACCCCACCTGGGAGTAGGGAGGCCTGCACGTAAGTTAACTCTGCCCCAGTTTATCCTCCCTCTCATCTCCCCAGGGCACTGCAGACAGGAAGACGCCTAGAGTTAAGGGAGGCCAGGAGCCCCTGTCAGCCAGCCTGTGGACATCCCAGATTATAAGGATAAATGTGACCTTTACCTTCCTGCTGCCCCACCTCGAGTTTCCCAGTTACCTATGACACCGAGGAATAAAGGTGAAGCCTGTGGGTCCTCTTACTGGCAGAACCTTCCATGCTGGGCCCCATGTCTGAGGGGACACGGCTGTGCCAGTGGGAGAACAAAACGACCTCCCTCCTCCCACCAGGGGACCCCGCTGCAGGTGGAACCTTCCTTTCCCTCTCCCTGGATTCCCAAGGGGCCCACGAAAGAAGCTTCCCTAACCCTTGGAGTAGGTAGTAATACTATCACCTCCTGTTTGGCAGATGAGGAAAATTAGGCACAAAGAGGTTAAATAATCTACCCATGGTCACAGCTGGTAAGTGGTAGAGTTGGGATTGGACCCAAAGGTTCATAGTAGAACAAAGACTTAGTGTTTGCACTGCCTGGCAGTTGGAAGGCCATCCCTAGGCTTTCCTAGTAGGTGATGGCGTAAACAACCCTTCCCAACATTACTATATAGAAAGCCTGTAAACTGAAAGCCGGGACTCTGTGGTGAAACTTCAGACAAGACGATCAGCTGAAGAAAAGAGGTACTTTGGAGTTGGAGGGGTGAGGTGGGTAGGAGCAGAAGAGAGTATCTCTAGTTCCTTCGAATCAAACCATGTCAACAACCACAGAAGTCTTTGCTTGCCATAGGCCTAAGAAAGAACAGTCGGGCCGCGGTCTCTTTGATTCTGAGATGGCCTTTTACTTACAAGGGGCTATATATAGTTTGTCTTGCTCTGTAGCCCAGAAATCTAGCATTACCAAGCATAGAATTATTAAGCAAACAAACAAACAAAAACCAGCACACCTGTCCTCCACAGAATTAAGGGCTAAAGAATTGTCAATTCTCAATTAAGAAAATATTTTTTCCCTATAGGAATTCCCAAATATTTATGTGCATGGCTATAAAAAGTAAGCACCACAGAACAGAACCAATCTAGCACCATATTTGATTACATTTGGCTTCCGTCACTAACACTCTCATTGATGGTGAACATGTAGGAGTGCTTACTCTGTGCTCTATACATTGTATTTATTGCTTTACATGCATTTTCTTATTTTATGGAAGCCTATTTTTTGAACACCTATTGGGCACCAGGAATAAAAACAGAAAAATTTATTGTCCTCAAGGAATTTATATTGTAGCAAAACATAATCTTCAGAACATTTAATCCTCATTACAACTCCAGAAAGTAGGGACAGTTCTTCTTTCTATTTTACAGATAAAGAAACCGAGGCAGGTAGATCAATATACTGTTCAAGGCCTTTCTTTTCAAATTCTACCAGCAGGTGGCTAAGGCTTCCCACACATTCTAACTCGTCACCACGCACAGCACAATGCCACTAACAAAGCAGCCGATTCCTGATTTATTGATTGGTACGTTATAGTCAATAGCTGTTTGTGAATTTTAAATCTTGTTCCCTAATTAATTGTTTCCCTTATAACGGAAATACTCTCTCCAGGAAAAATGCTGATATTTTATCCTTGACATATTTGATAAAGGAACCCCAGCTCGTATGATCATAGCTACACAGCATGGATTTATACTCACTGTTGAATAAATGGACGATGTACTGGAAACCAAGGAGAGCGAGGATCCATGAACTATTTTTAAAAAAGGAAAGAAAAGATGAATTACATAGCTGGCTGCTATGAAACCAAAAATGGGGGGAGGGAAGGAGAAACTGAGCATCATAGGGCACTACCAGGCTCAGAGCAACTTGACCTCACCTTGACCCGACCTTCCCTGGTTTGGCTTTAGGTCAGCATCAAATAAGGAATAGTTTGTTAGGAGATTCAGTCAATTTTCTGTTACCACATTTTTTCTATAACCTTCTAAATACTTTTGCCCCCTATCAAAATAATACATGATTACTTCATGAAAATTTTCAAGGACAGAGAAGTGCTAAAAAACAAATCCACTAGAGCAGGGATTCTCAAACTACGGCCTGCGGGCCACCTGCAAATACAAATATTATATTTGTTCCCATTTTGTTTTTTTACTTCAAAATAAGATATGTGCAGTGTGCATAGGAATTTGTTCATAGTTTTTTTTTTTTTAAATTATAGTCCGGTCCTCCAACAGTCTGAGGGACAGTGAACTGGCCCCCTGTTTTAAAAGTTTGAGGACCCCTGCACTAGAGTAACCAGCATGGTT